CCACACGTGTAAACGCTCGTTCATTGTCCGATACACACACACAAAAAAAACCCGGCCCGTTTAACGCGTTGCAGTGCTTTCGCGACCGATAATATCCATAACAGAGGTTGTTGGGTTAGATCGCAAGAATATAAATGTGTCGTTTAACACGCCAACAGCCGATACACAATCCAAGGCGGTGTTCAACGGCACATTTTATATTTACACGATATATTGACGCGATCTCGCCCAACAACACCTTCTATCACGGAATAACACCGACATACACAGAGGACCGCAGAGCTTTGTGCAGGTGTGGGGGGTGGGTGGGGGTGTCGGGGGTGTGTGGGGGGGGGGTGTGTGGGGGGGGGTGTGTGGGGGGGTGTGGAGGTGTGAGGGAGGTGGAGGGGGTGTGGGGGGTGTAGTAGGGTGTGTGTGGGGGGTGTGGGGGTGTGTGGGGGTGTGGGGGAGGTGGGGGTTATGGGGGGGTGTGGGGGAGGTGGAGGGGATGTGGGGGTGTGTGTGGGGGTGTAGAGGAGGTGGGGGGTGTGGGGGTGTGTGGGGGGGTGTGGGGGGGTGTGGGGGGTGTGGGGGGGTATCGGGGAGGTGGAGGAGGTGTGGGAGGGGTGTGGGAGCTCATACAGTATATATATGGTGGGGGGGGAGGAAGTAGGCAGAATTCTAAACTAAACAATTTTTGTTTTATTTGACCAGGTAAGGCCCCACTGAGCTGTGTAGCTTTTTTTTTTCAGAAGCGACCTGGCCTATCGCAAATTCTCGCTCAGAGAAGTGGGGGCTTATCACGCGGCAACGGAGAGCAACCAAAAAGTCTCCACGCCTGATGTTGGTTCTAAATGTGGAGGGGAAAACCGGAGGACCGGGAGAAGAAAATCCACGTGACCACGGGGAGAGAGAGACACGCAAACTCCAAATAAACGGCAGGCGTCGTCAGGATCGGGATACAACCCACGACCTCATGTAAACCAGGCGAGGGAGTTAACATATCACCACGGGGAGAGAGAGAGAGAGAGACGCACTCTCCAAATATACTACAGCAGGCATCGGCAGGGTCGGCATCGAAACCACGACCTCCCGCACACCAGGCGAGGTAGTTAACATCTTGGAGATGGGGTGTGTGGATGTGGCTGCTGCTGTGATCGTCAACTGCGTCATCGGAGTGGACAAAGAACCAGCCGAGCTCGCGTGCCAGGACAGGGGACCAGACCACGGATGGCATCGCCAGACCACGCGAAAGAGAGAGTTTGGCGTGGCCGTCATCCAGCAGTGGATAGACCGCGGCTGACGATGACGGCGGTGGTGAGGATCACACCCTCCGATTTGCCCGCGCCTCCTATCAGCAGGGTGGGATACGTACGGCGCAAAAGAAGTTCGACGCACACGAGACGCCGTCGAAACTTCATTTTTTTTTAGCCCGGGTCTGCGCGGGTCGGCGACCCGTACATTTTTTTTCCCGCACCCGGCACACCACATCGAGCACACCCCTCGCTGCCGGCCGTGTTCACCGGTCGCGGATGACATCGGCGGCTCAGTCAGATTTGCGTCTGAGCCTGAAGCCCTCCGATCGGTCAATTTCCGCTCCCCGCCGGCCAAACTTGGGCCGGGAATTCAGCGAGACGCGACAGGCCTCGGCCAAGCGGGAGGGACGCGACGGCGACTCCATTGGGAATCATCGGTAGTGTCGTGGTTGTTGTTGTTGTTTTCGTGTTTTCACCGTATGGAATCCGATGAACGTCGAGGGTTTCTTTTTCACGGACGTCCCAGTAAGTTGTCACACCATGGACCTACACCGAGCCGCTCGCTGTCTCCAGATGAGGTGCTGCTGGTAGACAACAAAGACAGCAGTCTGAGCCAGAGGGTCAATACAACGAGAAAGACAAAGCCAAAGATCCCCCCCGTCGCCGCCGCAGCAGCCTATAGCCTTAACAGACTGTTGGGGCAAGTGCTGTTAGCGAGCAGCACCTGTGAAGGCCGGCACGGTACACCGAGGAGTGGGTGGCCAGCACCACGCCCGGTCGCCTTTGTCTCCCCAGTGGCGATGTTTACACACAGCACCAGGTTACTCATTTGAGGCCGAGTCAACCTAGGGGAGGCCCAGGACCGGTTCGAATAATCGTCACCGGTGTTGGCCGTGAGCGGGAATCAAACTCGGGTAGCCGGGTTCGTAGCGCAGCGTGCTAATCGCTGTGTGTGTTCGACTGCACGTATCGATGGTTCAATTGAAATGTGCACTTTTATTACGGGGTTGTGTTGTTGTCTTGGGGGGGGGGGGGGGGGGGTCCGGGACTGTTGTTGTTTTGTTGTCTTGTCCAAGGTTGCGTTTAGTGTTGAAAAATCGACAAGAATTTAAGTGCTTGTGCAGTTTGAATGTATATGCTTTGTATATTTATTTAGCGTGACTTGTTTTCCTCTCCTATACTTAGCACCCCTATCGGTTTTTTTTGTAACCGTTTGCTGTTGTAACTTTCTGACCCGCCCCTACTGGAACGTCTGTGACAAAAGCGCTTCATAGCTCATCGGATTCCTCCTCCGAGGTAAGTGAAGATTCTGACATCATGTCGTGGAGCTGCGGTGGAACGGGTAACGCGCCGACTTGCGCTCCCAAGCCAAGCCCCCTGAGTTCGACACTGGACCGCGGCTAACATCAGTGGCGAGTGACACCTGAACCGGTCCTGGGACTCCCCTTTAAGCGTCACCGCACTGACCAGCATGGTGAAGTATGGACAAACAGCCCATCCTCCCGTGACCGACACAGCGTGGGCAGCCCATCGTCCAGGAGCGGATGAAAATGATTAGAGTGATCTATTGTTAATGCGGTGGATGTGCATGTTGATTAAACACACTTATCGACAGACCAGTCCCAGCCATTGATGTTTCCCAATTGTTAAATCATGCATTTCTTAGCCTGTCTTAAAGCTTCCTCCCTTTAGGTTGACTCAGCCTTAAACGAACACCCACTACGGGAGATGAATGCGCTTTGTGTTTGTTTGCGGCCACACCAACGCCCTCGCTTGCTGTTCCGCCCTTAATAGGTTCTCGCGAACAGCACTTGCTCCGACAGCTTATTGAGACTGTATGGGGGGGTCCTTGCCTTTAATATGTACTCGGAGCCTATGGTACAAAGATGTAGGTGACAACGCTCGAGGCTATGAGATTGAATAAAACAAAGATTCCCCCGTATAGCCTGTAACAGACTTAACACGTAGGTTTTCGCGACCAATATTATTCATAATAAAGGTTTTTGGGTTAGATCGCGTTATTTATAAATGTGTCGTAACCCTCCACCATCCGACACGGCCAATCAGCAAAAAAAGTGTCACGTTGACAAAAGACAATTAGTTCACTACTTTAGCCCACCAGTGTGTTGAAGAGTGAATCCACAATACACCGGTGGGCTAAAGTAGTGAACTAAGTGTCTTTTGTCAACGTGACACTTTTTGCTGATTGGCCGTGTCGGGTGGTGGAGGGTTACGACACATTTATAAATAACTCGATCTAACCCAAAAACCTTTATTATGAACTGTAACAGACTGTTGGGACAAGTGCTGTTAGCGAGCACCTATGAAGGCCGGCACGGCACACGAGGGGGTGGGTGGCCAACACCACGCCCGGCCGCCTTTGTCTCCCAAGTGACAATATTTACACACACTGCACCAGGTACTCATTTGATGCTGAGTCTACTTAGGGGACGCCCAGGACCGGTTCAGATAATTGTCACCGGTGTTGACCGTGAGCGGGAATCGAACTCGGGTCGCCGGGTTCGAAGCGCGGTGCGCTAACCGCTATGGTACCGCTCCCCACAAGGTGCACACACACACACAAGCACGCACGCACACACACGCACAACAACAACCGACATTCGCCACTAAGTGGCGGTAACGTCACCACGACGCCTGTGCCAGGCTATGTGCACCTTGAGGCCACGTGAAGTGTCGAACGCCCGCGGGCAGGAGGTCACGGGGCAGACCCAGGTGCCACGGGTCGCCTGACTGAGATGACTGAGATGACTGGCTGATGCACCACCTGTGCCCCCGACTGTGCCAACTTGCTGTGTTTTAGCCACCCAGCGCTCCGCTCGTTGTTGTGAGCGTCGCTCCTCCGCCCTCTGTTGTTGTTGGAGGGCGACTCCCTCCAACTGCCCAGCAGCGTCTTTCACGAGCCTCCTCCACAGAGGCCGATCTTGACACCGCTGGTACCAGTCATCGGCAAGTCCACTCAGCTCCACGTCCTCCTGTACCACATCACTCCATCTCTTCTCTAGCCCGTGCCGCGCCCGTTTTGCCTCCTCGATCCGGCCGAACAAAAGCTGTTTGGGCATGTGGTGATTGGGCATGCGGGCTACATGACCCAGCCATCGCAGCCTTGCCTGCCGGAGGAGCTCACCGATGGGACTTTGTCCAGATCTTTCAATGATTTGTGAGCTCCTCACACAATCCAGCCTGGTTAAACCAAGGATGGATCGTAGGCAGGCCAGCCTAAATGTTTCTAACTGGCGAAGATGTTCCATTAGGGGGGTCCACGTTTCGCAAGCGGAGAGAAGGGAGGGGATGACTGTGGCGGAGAAGACCTGAAGCTTCGTGCGGAGCGACAGACCAGGTAGCTTCCACACAGCGTTACGCAACCGATGAAAATATAATGCCGCTCGACTGATTCGGAGTGAGACCTCTGCTGTTAAACCGGAGCCGGTCACTCACACGCACAAAGATAAAAGATCCCCCATATAGCCTTAACAGACTGTAGGGGCAAGTGCTGTTAGCGAGCACCTATGAAGGCCGGAACGGTACACGAGGGGGTGGGTGGCCAGCACCACGCCCGACCGCACACTCACGCACACGCACGCACGCACACTCACGCACACGCACGCACACACACGCACGCACACGCACGCACATACGCACAAACACGCACATACGCACACGCACGCACACACACGCACACACGCACGCACACACGGAGGCGCGCACACACACACACTTACACACGGAGGCGCGCACGCATGCGCTGCAGGATGTATTTTGCATTCAGTCACTCGCGACCTTGGCACAGCGAACACAAAATTCTCTCTCTCACCCACAACTCTCTCTCTCACTCTCACCCACAACTCTCACTCTCACCCACAACTCTCTCTCTCTCGCACTCTCTCACCCACGCAGCGGCCGATTCAGAATCCACACTCAACACGGACAGCAATTTACTACTCTCGCTCTCTCTCTCTCTCGTTATATAAGCAAAATAATTGTGAACTATAAACACGCACCTCTGTTCGCCGGTTTAATCTCGAACCCAATTAGTTTCGATTTGTCGAAGCTGAGCCGACCAGCACCAAGATACATCCGTCGTGAGAGATAGAGAGGGAGACACACCGACAAGAGATGAGTTGACCGCACACGTGAACCTCTCGCGATAAGAATTAGGAGACATCAATTGGTTTGGTTAAGGGGGTCTGGGGGAAGGGTTCTTCCACCTCGCACGGGCATGGAATGTTCGGCTCAGAATGGACACTGAAGTATACCCGGTAAGTTTGTTCACGTGCCAAACATGCATCTTAACACTGCCGTAGTAATTGTGCACGTGGTTGCTATTGGGGAGCGGTGGCGACGTGGTTAGCGCCCCGCGCTACGAACCCGGCGAACCGAGTTCGTTCACCGTTCTCGGTCACCAACGCCCGTGACGATGATCCGAAGCGGTCCTGGACCTCTCCTAGGTCGACTCAGACTCAAATGAGTACCTGATGCGATGTGTAAAACATCGCCACCGGGGAGACAAAGACGGCCGGGTGTGGTGCTGGCCACCTGCCCCTTCGTGTGCTATGCCGACATTCATAGGTGCTTGCTAACGGCACTTGCCCCAATAGTCTGTCACAGGCTATACGGGGGATCTTTGTCTTTGTGGTTGTTGTCGTTGTTGTTGGTAAATGTACCCATACTTTATAAATTAACAAAACTCAACACGTTCCTCGATAACACCGTGTAGCCTTCAAAAGGAAGCGTATACTGTTCAAAAAATAGGCGACGTTTCGGGCAATGCTCCTTCAAAGCACGTAAATCATAGCACACACACACGCATGTATAGCGCACATCAAAATACACCTCTTTTGAAGGTGACACAATCATTACGCAAAGTAAGGTACGTCAGTGTCTTAAGTGAACACTCAGCTTGTCTGCATGCAGTATATCTCTATACACTACTTCATTATTTTGCAGTTAATTTTCGTGTTTTCTAAGTTGAAAAAGTCAATGTTGTTTACAGATCTTTGCCAGCCCACTGCTGGATTTTGTTCTAATTCACTGCTATATCGGTCACGGGTCATGTGTTCGTGTGTTTGTGTGTGGGGGGGGGGGGGGGGGAGGTTGTTTGACCATACTTCACCACGCTGGTCATGCGGGGTTGGTGAAGGGAGCGCTGAGCTCGCAACTGATGTTAGCCGTGGTGGAATCACCACCGGAGGTCATAATGCAGTGCGCTAACCACTGCGCCACCGCTCCACTCTCCGAGTCGAACACGTGTAACCCATGCGCTTCGTGCAAAGGGAATGAAAAGTTAACTCGAGCCAACATTCTACACGAGGGTCGGTTAAAACTACTTATGATAAACGTGATGTTTCAAAGTCTCTTAGACGTTCGTGAGACGTTAACCGTGACGCTTGACTCGTACGCGACAGCGAGGCTCCCAACTGTAAGTTTGTAAGTTTGAATCATGACCAAAGTCCACTTAACCCCACCATCATCATCATCATCATCCATATGGGGTGAATAAAATCAGTACCACCTTGTACGCAGTGAAACCAACAGTGGCCGCCGTCCCGAATTCGGACTCGTCCTTGACATACGAACGTGGAATTTCCTCCACTGGTTCAGCGCGGTCACTGAAGTTATTCGAGCATCGAGGTAGAACGCTGAGATCGCATTCAACTGATATGCACGCAGTGGCGAGCGATATCCGAACCGGTGCCGAGCCCTCCCTCCCCATTCACCAATCCGCACTGACCAGCGAGGTGAAGTATGGTCAAACAACCCTCACGAACAACGAGTTTGCAGAGTCTTACATCCGGCAGGATATTTACAAAGGGGTGACCATCGTCGTCATTACTGTTATGATTATTATTTAAAAGAGCCTCGCAGTGGTGCACCTTGTTACGAAGTTAAAGGGCTCGCGTAAAGCCACCGCCGTCTGTTCCATGCAGGTCACCTGCAAAGTATAAATTTACGTCACGACTAACACCTTTTCAGCCCTTTGTCAATCTACTGCTGGATGAAGTCCTCCCAAGGGGGGATTGTTTGACTTGACCATACTTCACCAGACTGGTCAGTGCGCGTTGCATTAGGGGTGGGGGGGTGCTTGTCCAGCTATCACTCGCCACTGATGTTAGCCGTGCGCAGGGTTTATTCATGCCAAAGTGCGCTAACCACTGTGCCACCGCTCCCCCACCCGCCGTCTCCCATCGCTACACATTGGGACACAAACACCAATATTGGAAAGATGCATCCCAATTTGGCTATGCTCCATCGCACCAAGTCCACTCGCAGACGTTACACACTATATATTTTGTTATTTTTGTAGCAGTACTTATAAACTACGGTGGCCAGTTGCGTAAAATGTACCTAAGTTAATTCCCCACCCTAATTAACATTACAAAACTAAGTGGGGGAAATAACACGTAATATATTTACTAAAGCATTTTTTTCTTGATATTCATCAATTTATTTTTAAAATTTCACCAGGTAAGGCCCACTGAGCTATATAGCTCATTTTCAGAAACGACCTGGTCACAAATAATAGCTCAACGAAGTGGCTCATCATCACGTGGACATTTTTATATCAGCCGAATACTCTAAGCGCACGTTCATTCTAAATGCGGAGGGGAAAACGGGAGGAGCGGGAGAAAATCCACGAGACCACGGGGGAAAAAGATAGACACGCAAACTCCAAATAAACAGCAGCAGGCGTCAGGGTCGGGATCGAACCCACGACCTCCTGTAGACCAGGCAAGGGAGTTAACATCTCGAAACTGGCCGCAGACAGCCTGGCTATCTCTCATTTGGGGCTGCACGCGTGGTCCCAACTCGTCGTGCACCTGGCATGCGACTGTAGGGAAAAGAGGATCACAGCAACGTTGTTTATGATTTCGTTTGCAAATAAACCACAGCCCCCCCTCCCCGCCTTTCTCCCAGAATAGACGACCCTGCCCCCCACTCTCTGTACCCCCCCCCCATATACCGAGGCAGGCATCCAGCCTGGGCAACCATTAATCGAGCTCTTTTTAATCTCTCCTTCCTCCTTCTCCCCGATGTCCCCCCCTCTCTCTCTCGCTCTCCTCTCCCCAATCTCACTCCTCTCCCCCACTCGCGCTCTCTCTCTCATCTCCCCTGCATCTTTCCCTCCCCTTCCCTCTCCCCCTCCCTCCTTGCTCTCTCTCCCCATCTCGCTCGCCTCTCCTCTCCCCAATTCTACTCCGCTCTCTTTTTTTTACGATCAGAGGAAACAAGAATATGCTCGGTGTAGTCGGCACTTTGCTTCGTTCATCATTTCGGTTTTTTTAATGCTTTGCTTTATGTAACCCCCCCCCCCCTTTTAAATGAAATATTTCACAATAGATTTCACGCTATTTCCCTATTTCCGCTGCCCCTCTCCTTTCCTCTGCCCCCCCCCTCTCTCCCCATCTCGCTCGCCTCTCCTCTCCCCCAACTCTACTCCGTCTCACTCATCTCTGCCTGCCTCTCTCCCTCCCTCCCTCCCCTTCCCTCTCCCCACTTCCACCCTCCTCCCCTACCCGCCCTGGTCGTCTTGTGTAACAAGTATCGGAAAGGCATTATGTGTTGTGCGGGGATGGTGGATGGTGAACGGGGCGTGCATGGGGGATTGAAGCCGGCCCTGCTTTGGGGCCCGCGTGAGCCGTCGGGATGGGGGCTGTAGATTGTTGCATGTTTTATAGATGAAGTCTTGATTGGACTAAGCTTCAAGTGCCCGTGCGTCAGCGAAGGAATCAGTCTCCCCACCCACCCACCCATCTCTCTCTCTCGCTCGTTCGCTCGCTCTCTCTCCATAAAGATTTTACGGTACGGAGCAGATCGGGTCAAATGATGGTTATTTGATGCCCATTTACTCGTCTTTTGTCAGTGGTGACTGCGACACACCACAGCAACATCACTCATCCCCCCCCTACTTTAATCAGCATTTATGGAAAGCCCCAGCTGCTGACAACGAATGACTTACAGAGCCCACTGGAGCCCCCCCCGGCCCCCACCAACAGATTGTGAGCCACCACAATCGCCACCACTACCACCACGACCGCCGCCACCACACCACCACCACCCCGCCACCACCACCACCACCGCCACCACCACCACCACCACCACCCCATCACTACCACCACCATCACCGCCACCACCGCTACCACCACCGCTACCACCACCGCCACCACCACCGCCACCACCGCCACCACCACCACTACCACCACCACTACCACTACCACCACCGACACCACCACCACCACCACCCCACTGGCTCCTTTCAATCGAGGCGCTTACAAAATAAAAACGAGTCACGCACCAAAAGGTACCCGGGGGGCTCCTCGGCGCATCGCGCACCGACCGTCGGCAGTTGCCGAAGACCTGCGTCGTGGTGCTCTGACCTCGGGTCACCTTCGGCGTGAATTCGAACGGACGCGATCCGCCGACGGCAGCAGCGGCAGCGGTAGCGGTGACGAGAAGTCGGCCCCGGATGGGTTTTGTCATCATTAGGACTCGTCAGTGCAGCGAGAGGCGCCAATGCTCGCTGCTGTTGCTGCAGGGTCTGCCTCTGCGACGCATGATTATACTGCAGCGTCCTTCCGGACGATCTTTGCTCGTTGGAGAGTGATGGGAAGGGGAGGACAAAGAGCTCGCGGTCCGAGTTGCACTTTTGCAAACCATCATTTTTTTTATTTTTTTGGGGGGGGGGGGGGGGGGGGGGGGCGAGGGGCGATTTGCCCCCCCCTCCCCCCCCGAGTGGCGAGTGGAGATCTCTCCACGCTTCGTCCAATAACTGGAACCATTTGTTAAAAAAAAAAACACGTGGTCGTGGCTCTTGGGTTTAAATGTTATATATATATTGTTTGTTTGCCGTGGTTAAGGCAAATAGTGCGGGCGTTTGCGATCTGAAACACGACGAGAACAATCCTCTAGACCCCTCCCACCCCCTCCCTACAACTCCCTTCCACATTTGTAAACAAAACAGTTGAAACATTTTTTGGCTGCTATAAATGTCCAGGTGGTAAGCCACTTCGTTGAGCTATCATTTGCGGCGGCCAGGTCGCTTTTGAAAAAATAAGTTAACATCTTAGTGTGCTTGGCCTTTACCTGGTCGGAGAACAAAAAAGTTCAGTTTGATCTGTATACATTTTTTTCAAGTGATTTATTTAGCGTTCCTATACTTTGCACTCCGTATCGTGTTTATTTTTTTATCGTTGTGACGTTCATCATCTTCATCCAGCGGTGGATTATGATCATGATCATCATCCATCAGTGGATGATGATG